CATCGCAAGACACTATGACATTGCAATATGAACCATCCTCCCCTTCATCATGATCTTGCGATTTAACCTCACATACGTGCATTCCACACCTTATGCTACACAACCTACATCAACACTTAGACAATTATTGATGGAACATATTTAGTATCACACAGAGATGTGGTGTATCCACATAGAGATGTGGTGTATCCACATAGAGATGTGGTGTATCCACATAGAGATGTGGTGAAACCCTAACCCAGTTACCAGTTCTTCCCAGTACACTTGAGATTGCCTTAAAAGGAGAAAAACTTCCTTCCTTCCCCTAGGGTTTTACATTAGAGACTGCGATTTACGTGCTGAAGCGGGTTCCAACCAAGTCCGTTCCTAAGACTCCATATGAGCTATGGACTAAGAAACCAAGTGTGAGACACTTAAAGATTTGGGGTTGTCCAATACAAGACCAGTTGTTGCCTATTTGTAGATTACCCCAAAGGCTTTGTAGGTTACTTATTCTATGATTCAAAAGAGCAAAATGTGTTTTGCAGTTGAAATGCCTACTTCATAGAGGAAGATTACATTCTGGACAATCTTCATGCGAAAGTTATTCTTGAAGAGGAGAGCCCAAGGGTAGTAAGAGATATCCCACCAGCTAAGGAGTCACGAACCCACTCGAAGTCGAAGCACATCGAGAGGAAGTACCATGTACTACGGGAGATAATTGGTAGAGGGGACGTCCTGATTCAAAAGGTAACATCAGCAAAAAATGTAGCAGACCCATTAACTAAGCCATTGACATAGAAAGTGTTTGAGAAACACATGGAAATTATGGGACTCCGACTTGTACCAGATTGATGTACCTATTGGCATTTATTGTAAATGAATAAAATGCATAATTGATCCATGTTATTATGGTGTGTTTCTGTGTAATACCCTTAAACTGGACATTTAAGTGACTTGTGTTAGTTTAAAACCTTCACAGCCGTTGGGTAGATCTAGGGATATTTATCCTGCCAAGGCTAACACTGATGTGCCGCCAAGTTGGTTGGAGTGGCTTGTCTCAGCTACCAGGGTGAGATCTGAGGTGCATGTAGTGTGGGTTTTTCTTGAAACTTTTAATCGGACCAAATTCTAGTATTGCCCTGGACCTTGGAGGTAGATGGGCAAATGTGGAATGTTACACCTGACCCCTAGACTCGATTATGGTACTAACTAGCTGTCGAATTGGGTTATCTTTGATATGCCAATCAGTGAGATCTTTTACTGGGTCAAAACCTGGGTATGTTGGGGCAGCCCGAGAATTCATCTGAATGGGTGATCATAGTGATAAGATCAGCCCCTTTGTTGGACAAAGTGAATGATTGGGGAAACCTAGACTACCAGTAGTGGATTTCAAATGTGTTTGAAATTTGGTTTTGCAAAATATATTTATATAGAGATATACTTATATATTATGGTTTCAAATTGTTTGCAAAAGGGTTTTAATTCCTAAGAAGTTATGTGATGTGCTACAATGTTCCGGTTTCTCATCGCAAGCCACTATGACATTGCAATATGATCTGTCCTCCCCTTCATCATGATCTTGCAATTTAACCTCACATACGTGCATTCCACACCTTATGCTACACAACCTACATCAACACTTAGACAATTCTTGATGGAACATCTTTAGTATCTCATAGAGTTGTGGTGAAACCCTAACCCACGTAGCAGTTCTTCCCAATACACTTGAGATTGCCTTAAAAGGAGAAAAACTTCCTTCCTTCCCCTGAGGAAACTTTTATAGATAGGGAACCTCTGAAGAGACTCCTCATGCATGTGTCCTTGAAACCCTACGTAAACCCTATTACACCATAACCCTAGTCTTATCCCACTCCTGTTGCTCTCCTAATTTATGCCTCATAAAAATAACCCCATTGCCACCTTCTGTCTTTTAGGCAGACACCTCTAGTGCTCTACACTACCATCCTACATTAAGAATCTTTAGTTGAATCCCTGATCACGGAGATGGAAATGATAAGAACAAACTTGTTGTTGCCCAGTTTCTTAAACCCAAAAGGTGTGAATTGGGTATAGATTAAAACTTTACCCAAATTTTAAAAATATCTAAGCCATCTTGAATGGCTGAACCCAAGTGCAGTGGAATAAAGGTTTTGTGCGTGTGCATGTGTGTGTTTATATGCCTTAATTGTCACAAGTAGTCAATCATACATTTTTGGGGTAGTTGATTATATCTCCTAAATTGGTAGTCCATGCCCCTAATGTCATAGGTAGTCGACTAAACATTTTGAGGTAGTTGACTACATCTTACAAATAGGCGTTTCATGCCTCAACTATCATAGGTAGTTGACTATGTATTTCAGGGATAGTTGACTACATCTCTCAATTTGCCATTTTTCATGCCTTTGACTATATGCGAATATAGTATATGAGCAATATGCTCAAACATGCAAAATATAGATGTAAGTGACAATATTTTTCAACTACCAAAGGCAAATGAACAAGGTTGCAAAGTAATAGCTACAAAACATGTTCTTTTGTGAAAATGTAGTGCAATTAGCGAAGTGCAAGGAGAAATAACTGCACGAACTTGAAATCTAAAATAAAATAAATATATAGAGAGAAGGGGGAGAGAGAGATAGGTGGAAAGAAAGAGAGAGAGAGCACATGTTTTATAGAGATTTGGCTTACCTTGCCTATGCTCTCTACCTCAAACCAACACTAAGGATTTCCACTAACTCAACTAATTGAATTTCTTAGGCACTAGCAAAGCCTTACAACTGTAGGTTTTTCAAGGTTCCTACAACCTTAGATAGATTTCCAAGTTATACACAGATTTAGCAGAATTTCACAACCGCTTGCTATACCTAAACTAGTAAAACACAATTGGTCTTTACCAAACCTTAATTATTTTTTCAGGTTTCGACCAAAACCTTTCTTGCCTTCTTAGTGTTCTCATTTTTTAACACCATTATCTTATATTAGATATGTCATTGAAGTTCATGTACAAAGATATCCCTCTCAATAGGTTGATAGAATAATACCATGAAGAACTAGCCCAAGAGACAAGATATCTCTTGGGCTCAAACCCTAGCCCAAGAGACAAGATAATACCATGAATAAGGGCTGAAATGGGGGTCTTCAACCTTGAAGAACTAGGGTTTTTTCTCTTTTAGCTCATGGGAAAACCAATGGAAGAACTCTTTTGATAGCACATGGTCGCCACTCACTTCTTTGCCAAAACCCTTGAGATATACATTGAAGCTCACTATTCTTCTTTCTTCTTCTCATAAATTTTTGTAGGCATAAGAATGTAGTCATTTTTTGACCATTATGTTGGAAAAGCGATCAATGAGTACCATAGTTCGGAAAACAAATAGGGCCTTGGCGTTTTATGGTCATTGTTCTGAATTTGGGTATTTTTGCTTCCTTTTTTTTCTATATTTTAGGGAATAATTTTAGCGAGAGAGAGAGAGAGAATTAGCCAACCAATTTAAAGCTTTGGTACTTTTTATGAGAAAAATAAGGACCCATTTGGTTCGTGGATAAGATCAAAATCCATAGTAATAGGAATTAGAATCACATATTCCTGCCACTTGTTAGGTTTAGTCGAGAATTGGAATTGGATTCCGATTGTTGTTGTTTGGTTCAACTAGAAGTTGGAAATAGAATTAGTCAAATTTTCCAATTTTGCCCCTATTAGAAGAAGAAGAAGAAATAGGGTGGATTCACAATCTTTGTTTGGTTGGGCATTGATTTGGAAGAAGAGAGGGAGAAATAAGAGGGGAATAAAAAAGAAAGGAGGGATGAAGAATAGGGATTTGCTAATATCAATTGTTGGCAATATTAGTAGCAGTGAAGGGGGGAGGAAGAATAGAGGAGATAGAGGGGAAGGACCATTAGACGACGACTGGTCTTACCTTGTTGGAGATAGTAGTTGTTGGGAACTAGCATGGAGAAGGGACTAAGCATCTATTTGGTTCTGTAGGAGTTTCTTGAGAGGCATTTTGATAATGATGTCACGTCATCGCCAAATCAGCATTTATCCCATCATGCCAATTTGTACACATCAGTATTGATAAAAGTTGGTCTTGATTTATGTGTACGCCAACCATTGAGGGAAGTTTCATTTTAATGTTTTCCCCAATGGTTAAGCATTTATTCACTGTTCCGCTGATGTGGTGTCTAGTGATGCATAGTTGTTAATAAATGATTTATCAACCACTTTTCTTGGTTTTGATGCCAAATCAAGTTCAAAGTGGGGGTTTTATTGCAAAAAAATGATGAAGAGGGAGGTAGAATGGGAATTAGTGAAATACATTTCGGGGGGGGGAGATGGTAGGGGCGTTCAAATTCGGTTGATAAATTGAAAGCCGAACCGAACCGAATAAGCTAGTTTGTTTCAGTTAATTCAGATATCAATTCAGTTTGTTTTTTGTTTCTTTAAAAAATTGGCTTTTGGTTTCGGTTCAGTTTAATTGAGCTTTTCAACTGAACTGAATTGAAAACTGAATTAGTGGTTTTATTTAATTAAGTATACTAAATATATAATATTCTATTCAATACTTTATAACAATTAATTAATAATTATTATCTTTTTTAATGGGTAATGATCAATTCGCAATTCCCCATTGTGCTTTGGGAGGTTGGGTCTATTTCAACTTTTAATTAATAATAGTTAATTAAATAGCCTAAAACTCTAAACAACTAGAGTATTAAAGATTAATAGCTTTAATTGTTCATTAAAACCTAGACTAAAGATTAATAGCTAGTTGTTTACTACTCATTAAAACCGAACCAAGCCAAACTGAATTCGTTTAGGGTGGTTCAGTTTTAAATTATAACCCAGTTTAGTTCGATTGGGAGAGATGGTCAAACCGAATAATCGGTTAAGTCTTCGGTTCTAACCGAACCGAACCGACTGATTGTACACCCATAGTGGAATGGGAATCCCGATCGATCAAGTTGGAAGCAGAATGAATGGGTGGGAGTATATCATGCCCTGTCAACGTGTCAAAAATTGACTGAACTCGAAGGGATCTTCTCTTCGAGTCCAAACGCACTCGATCCCGAGTGAGAGTAAGAAGGGTAGGGTTTTTGAAGGTTTCTTGCACACACTAAAACTTGGCATTTTGAAATCAAACAGACAGCGGGAATCTTCGAGCTGTATTTCCATGGCGTTTCTATTTCAGAAGTTTCAAGAGGTAATTTGAAATATTATCAGTATCTCGTTCACAAAAGAGAACCCATTGTACTCATTTCTCTGCAATGTGTCCATATCTGTCACTTAAATATACACTGATTTGAGTGATACCTTCTGTTTGTCGTTGAGATAGGGTTCTGGGTTTTGATTGCAAATATCGTGAAAGTATACCTCCTTTGTTGAATTATGTGCAACACTGCAATTATGTTTTTCGATCAGAAATGGTGCATGTATATGAGAATGTTGGTACTGAATTGTGTATTTCATTGGTCAAGAAATGTGTCTGTGCTTGTTCTGAACCAGTTGACAACGAGGCAGAGTAGCACTAAATTGACTTGAGTTATATTTTACTTCTTGATCGACTGTGCTTTTTGAATTTTGTTTTATACCCAATTTAAGCTTACTGAAAGTGTCATCAACTGAAAATAGTAACTTACCGACTTACCTGAGGATTAAAGTATCGTTTTTTTATTCAATAATTTTGTAAATGGATTCTTTACCTTTCCTTAATTTCCTCATCCTTCACTTACGTCTTTTCATCTCTAGCAAGTCTAGCTTTGGCATATCTAACGGGATCCGAGTTCTTGCCTATTCTATCTCCATCTTTCTCTTCCTTCTCGGTTTATAAACAAAATTTTCTCTCTTCTGTACCTAGTTTATGATAAAGTTCATTATTTGCCTTTCTAGCTTCCTTTTTGGAAGAAAGAAAAAATTCATTACCTCTATTTAGCAACCTAATTATAATGGTACAAGATCTCCATTTATGGTTGAGTGGGACTTAACGTCAGTAATTCATATTTATCTTCTTGTAATAGGTGACTACAGAACTGATGGAGCAATTGAGAAAATAGTAAATGTCAATTCAAGCTTGCTAGCCATAAAACGAGACTACTAGAAAACAATGTAGAAGTGATCCAGGATTAGGCTGCAAATAGATAGCCATTTAGCAACCATCAGATTGAATCTGACCAGAATCCCAAAATGTGATCCATTTATTAATTGGTCCAGATTCAGATATTGCTTGATCTGATCTGATAGGAACAGATCTGATTGATACATACATTACATACATGCATGTATACATTACCTACAAGCATTAAAATTCTTTAGAATTACATTGGATTTGGGATTTAGATAAACTTATTTTTTTTTCATTTTTGGTATATATGTTTGTTTATGTTTAATCTTATGAAATTATGCTTGTTTTATATAGATTTACTGACATGTTAATTGAATCAGATATCCAGATATATAAATGAATTGGACTTGAATATATGTTTTACATGTCTATCAGATATCAGATCAAATTTGGTTCTCTCAGATTCAGATATACCCCTATCTGAATTTGATCCGATCCTTTTGCAGCATCAACCAACGAAAAGAAGAAAAGAATAACCAAGGAATCAACACTTAATGAAATTGGCATCTAATAGCTTCTTGAGGCTGTGTTTGGTTTGTGGCAAAATTTTGGTGCTATGGGATGGGACGAGAAAGGAAAACTGGGTGCAAAAATCTCATGTTCCATTGTTTGGCTGTGAAAAGGAAAACAATGGGAATGTGATCCCCAAGAACAAAGAAAAGTGTTTTCATTCCTATCCAAAGAGGTTGGTCAGATTGGCTAACCTGTCAACTGACCACAATTGGGGTCTGTTTCATCATCACACTGTTTGTTTGCAAAAAACCGTAGATTTGGTCAATAACCTGGTGACCTGGCCTGTTAAATTGCTGAACATTTTGACCCGATTGGGTCACAGGTCAGATATTAATTCTCTTTTGTTTGTTTTTATACATCCTTTTAACTATTTTCATCATTGTTAGAGTTAAATTGCTGAACATTCTGTTTTTTTATTTTTTATTATTTTTTTATTTTTTTCTTGTCCCATACTTAAATAGGGGTATATTTAATTTTGTACCCTTATTTTAATATAATAGAGATTATGGTCGACTAGGAGGGTTAAGACTCTAGTTCGACAGCTTTCTTCCTTCTTTCTTCTTCTTCTTCTTCTCTTTGAACAGGGCTTATCTGAACCACTAAAACATGGTATCATAGCCCTAAATAAAAGAGAGGAAGGCTGCGATCTCAAGTTCCTGGACCTGCGATCTCTTCTCTTCTTCTTGGTGATGTGAGAAATAGTGTGGTTAACAGTAGTGGTGTGAGAAATATATATATATATATATATATATTTATATTTATGGTGTCTGGTTGAGCAAGTGCCATAAGGTGATGTGCAGATTGCAGTAGTGCTGATTGAATAGCAGAAATCCTTTCTTTTGTTGGTTGATAATTCAGAAGTAGGAGCAGATTTGAAAAAGGAATGGGAACAACTGATCAGAAGAGAAGAAATTTACTGGAGACAAAGATCAAGGGTGAAATGGCTGAAAGGAGACAATAATTCCAGATTTTTTCACACTTATGCCTCAAGAAGGAGAAGGAAAAATTTCATCTCCAAACTGAAAGTGAATTAGAGGGAAGAGGAAAATCTTGAGGAAATTAAGGAAGCCTTCCTCTCCTTTTTCAATAACCTTTACTCCAAGCATAGTAATAACCAATTTACATTGAGTAGGTGGGAAGGCACAACTTTATCAGCTGAAAAAAGGGTTTGGTTGGAAAGAAACTTTGAAGAGGAAGAAGTTAAAAAATTCTGTCTTCAACATGGATGGAGATCGGGCTCCAGGTGAAGGGATGAGAGATCCATCATATGGATGGCCGAACCCTGCAGGAAGGTTGGGCGAAATTTCAAAAATTTCTCTTTTTCCCATATGGGAATTGCATTCCTTATTTTAGAAAACTGCATTTTCAAGGATCATTCTTGAAACAAAACCGGACCAGATCTGAAACCAATAGGAAGTGAGGGATATACCTAATACGAAGTAGTAGTAACTCTCATTGAAGGTGTTCACGCCCAAGGCGAAGACCAAAAACCCTCTTCCACTGAAAATGACACAGTGTGTGGTGAAGCAGGATCAGTAGTGTTACGAGATTATAGGTTGTAATTATAGGCTGTAAATATGTAGTATTAGCCCAATTAGGAATAGCTTGATTATAGGAATTATTCTTTCTTTGATTTTCTTCCTATTTTAGTAACTACAAGGCTGTATGATTTTCTTCCTTTTTAGTATTTGCAAGGCTGTATGATTTTCTTCCTTTTTTAGTATCTACAAGGCTGTATATATATGTACTATTTTCTCAATTGAAAGATATCAATTTTCTTCCAATTCTTGTTCTATCACATGTTATCAGAGCTAGAGACACCAATTCCAGTTTGAAATTAATTTTTGGTTTTCTTCCCTTTGCTGCCCAAGTGAGCAGCTTTGAATTCTGTACGTTGCCCAAGTGAGCAGCAGCTGCGATCTCTAGGTCACCCATTCCGAGTGACATCTGCATCTCACCGCCCCTACTAGTGGAAGCGGAATCCCCAGATCGGCCTACCCACCTTCACCTGTCTCTTTTCTGACGGTCGCCTTAGCCTCGGTGTTACTCCTGTGGTGTTTGTTTGCCCATCAGGAAAGTCTTTCTTCTCTGTTCTTCTTATACAGTTGATATTTCGGTGCTGCCAGTTGTTATTTCTTGCTGTTTGGGCGTTGCATCTACTGCCGATTTTGTTTAAGTGTGTTTTATTGGCTTTGCTGGTTGTTAAAAGTTTATTTTCTTGTGTTTATGATGGCGGTTGAACAAAAGGACTTGGCTATACCTAGTGTTATCCCCATTCTGTCTAAAATCACTGAACAGAAACTAAACGGAACTAATTATTTAGACTGGAGTAAGACTGTTCGTTTGTATTTACAAAGTATCTCTAAAGACAACCATCTGACTAAGGACCCTCCTACTGATGAGACTCGCACTGAATGGCTAAGGGTTGACGCTCAATTGTTTTTGCAAATCCGTAATTCTATTGAGAATGAGTATGTCGGTCATGTCTCTCACTGTGAGTTTGTAAAAGAACTAATGGAATATTTGGCTTTTCTGTTCTCTGGTAAAGAAAATATTTCTCGTATTTTTGATGTTTGCAAGACATTCTATCGGGCTGAACAACAGAATCAGTCTCTTCAGACCTATTCATGAATTTCAAACGCACTTATGAGGAATTGAACGCCTTGTTACATTTCAGTACTGATATCAAAGTTCAGCAGACTCAACGTGAACAGATGGTTATTATGAGTTTTTTGGCTGGCCTTAATCCTCAATTTGATGGTGCCAAGTCACAAATTCTGTCTAATCCCGAGATTACCTCTTTAAAAGAGGTCTTTACTAGGGTCCTTTGTACAGATACTGGTTCCCATACCTCACCTGTACAACAACCTAGTGCACTTGTCAGTCGGAGTGCTGGAACTCAGGCCACAGGGGGAGTAGTTTGCTACTATTGTCATGAACCAGGTCACACTAAAAGGACTTGCCAGAAATTGCTAAAGAAAAACCAGAAGTTTTCTAGGTCTCAGTCAGCTCATGTTGTAACTACGAATGATGCTTTTCATTTATCGTCAGATCAGACCATTACAATTTCTGCAGATGAGTATGCGAAATTTACCCAGTATCAAGAGGCATTAAAGAACTCCTCTCAGTCCATCACTGCCCTTGCTGAGTCAGGTAAAACCAATACATGTCTTCTTCTTCCTCTCAGTGGGTCATTGATTCTGGTGCWACAGATCATATGACAGGTAATCCTAGTCTCTTTTCCACTTTCCAATCACACACTTTTCCTTCTTCAGTCACCTTAGCAAACTCACTCGTACTCTTAACTGTTGTATCTCATTCTTTTCTGATCATTGTCTGTTTCAGGATCTTATGACGAAGAGGACTATTGGTAAAGGACGAGAATCAGGAGGTCTGTACATTTTGGATACCCAAGAACCTCGGACCATTGTCTGTTCCAGTACTTTATCTCCTTTTGAAGCTCATTGTCGGTTGGGGCATCCATCTTTACCTTTGTTAAAGAAGTTATGTCCTTAGTTTCATGATGTATCTTCTTTAGATTGTGAGTCTTGTCAGTTTGCAAAACATCA